CTTTACAACAATAAAGAGCAAAAAGGAAGATTAAACTATTGGTACACATTTCTGTATCAATGAATCTCAAAATAATTATGTTAAGTGAAAGGAACCAACCCAAAATAACCAGTACATATGTATAATTCTTCACTCATACATAAAATTTAGAAAAATGGTAAGTAGTGAGAGCAGATCAGTGGTTGACTGAAAACAGGAACGAGGGACAGCAAAGGGAAATAAGCAAACTCCTGGGTCATGGATATGCAGTCTACTGTGTATCTAGTTATACTGGATAAAGCTATCATTGAGAGAAGAAAAGAGTTCAGCCATTCTTATTGGCTTAGCCTTTCTTGACAAATGTGAGGTAATATTTCTGGTCTTCCTTTCTCATTTGTACTGAAATTCTGCTAAGTCTCTTTCTCTCCTTTCTTTCCTTTTTTTTTTTTTTTTTTCTTTTTTTGGGAAAAACTGGGACAGTACTTAACCATTTCTCACCACCTCTGCCTCTCCTAATGTGGCCTCTCCTAATTATCTGGATTATTGTGTCATCCTCTTCAACTCTCCTGACGGCAGTATAGCTTCTCTTCTACTCAAAACTCTGCAATGGCTCCCAATCACACTCCAACTATGAGTCCAGGACCTTGTACTGTAGTATCACAAGATCCTACCTACTACACTCCACATCCTCGCCTGTCTTCACTTCTGCTGCTTCTTTCCCCTTTGTCTTACTCGATTCCATCCACACTTACTGCTTGTGGAACATCCAAGTCACATTCCATCAAGTTCCATTTGAACTCCACGTTCTTTATGAGTCAGTTCTCCGTTCAAATTCCCAATTGACTCATTCCGTCCAGCCTTGGCTCAGATGCTACCTTCTGAAAAAGGCCATCTCAACATAAGGATGCAAGCCTGTCCCTCACACTCGTTACACAACCTACTTTTCAATTTTCTGTCTCCTCTTACTCAAATGTAAATTCAGTAAAGGCAAGGATTTCTATATTTTGTTCACTGTTACATGCTCAGCTTCTAAGAGTGCTTAGCATATAAGAGATGTGAACTGTTAAATGAAGAAATAATTTCATAGGGGGCAAAAAAGAAAACAACTTGTGAGACTAACTCACTACTTCTTACTACTGAGTAGTAAACGTGACTTTAAGAATAACCGTCAAGACATGGCATGATACAATAAAACAAACATAGGTCAAACGATCTTTGAGACAGTGATGCTGACAGGGATGGGGGAAACGGGGTGGGGGTGGGGTGGGGAGGGAACCAAGCTGCAATTACAGGCTAGGTTTCAGGCTCTCAATGATAAACAAAGAATGTAGGGAAACTAATTTCTAAATAGATACTCAAGAATTATAGGAACAGATTTCTATCCTTAAAAAGATTTTACTTTTCCCACATCAGAGACATAATAGAAATCCTAGAGTTCCAGGAAATTAATTGCAAAGTCCATACTTTCTAAGCTAAAACATACTCAACAAGATACATTCTGTAAGCTTCCTTTGCCCTTCAGGCAAAAACTGGAAAATAATGGAGAAAATACATAGTACATGGCACTAGTTAAAAAAATTTTTAAACGCTTTTGCTACAATTAACTCAGTATCATAGAAAATGTTTCCTTCAATACAAATAAACAAACGTGGTAACTAATAGGTATTGTCTAAGTGACATTTCTGAAAGTATCCAATTCTTGAAAGTGTTTCAAGGTACTGGACCATATTAAACAATGGGTTTTTAATGCCTCCCCTACTAAAATCCATTTTTTACACCTGTGAGTAACAAGCAATTGCCAGCAAAGCTGGAATAGAAAAATCAAATACTCTGCCTATTTACATATGGTTCCCTGAAGCCATTCCTGATTAAAAATTGTACCATTTCAATCCTCCTTGTGGAAATATCTATTAACTAGAAATTCAGGTGAAAGCCAATGAATTTAGTATATAATTACACATATCCTGTACAAATTACTTCTCAATGACCTTTATTCATGAAAATAAACCAAAAGGAGATGATTGGCTCATTATAAATCTATGAGATGATTTCTCTGGGAAAAAAATATTGAGAGCAAAGTCCTGAAAGATCTAAAGCTTCAACTGAATTTATTTTCAGCAGAAGGTAATCACTTTTGAATCTAAACTATCAATGCATTTGATGTGAACTTCTCCAGTGGCACGCAACACTTTGTGACTGACATCCCGATCTTGACAAAAAATAACTACAAAACTTTGGGCAAGCTACTTTCCTGCTCCTGTCAGAAGCCAGATCCAGGTGATTTCAAAAGTCTCCTCCAGATCCAGAGGTCCACCATTTCATAATCAAAATCACAACAATCTACAATCACACGTTTTCTCAAAACCAGGAGTGCATTTGATTTACCTTTTGACCTAATACTATGTAAAACAGCTAACCAAACTTTTCTTAGGACTTTAAAGGAGGACATACAGCCCCTTAAGCTTTCATGGAAGTGGACATTTTAAAAAAAATCCCAAAGAAATTTCTACCACTGAGATAAGGAATACCTTCTCATAAGGTATACAGGCTTGGATGTTAAGACTTGGAGACCAGAAGGTCTAGGTTTAAATCCTAGTGCTGCTAATTACTAACTGTATAGCCATGAAAAATTAATTATCTTCCTATGCCTCAGTTTCCCTATCTGTGAGAATATCAGTATAGTCACGTATCACTTAATACCAAGCATATATTCTGAAAAATGTGTTATGAGGCAGCTTTATCACTGAATATTAGAATGTACTTGTCTTTATTCTCACAGTGGGTTGCACTGGAGGTGGTAGATTGGAATTAATTCACTAGGATTCCAGTAACTATTCCACGGGATTACAAATATAAACTTCCTGGACAATGACAAGGATGGGAAAAGGGCCTCAGCAGTACCTCACTGACCAAAATATCATTATGCAGAGCACAACTATTCTTTATCACTACTACATTCATACAATTCTTATGAAAAAGGTAAAATGAGCTAGCATGTAGAATGCTTTTAATAGTGACTTGTATACAGTAGGTGCTCAAACAACAGGAGCTCCCAGTACTATCATTATTATTAAGAGTTTTAGGAATCTTGAGAGTTAAGAGAATAAAGGAATTATACTGCTCTTAAGGATCTGAATTCTGTAGTTCTCTCTTCTAGGTGATGACTGTAAGTATGAATATTTCTATATCCAGATATAATTTATATCTATGTATTTTATCAGTCCAAACTACTCACAACTATAGTTTATATTATAAGCTATCCTTAAAAAATGTTAATTCCTTTCTGAAAGATATTCTAAATTTCAAAATCAACTTGATCACTCATGTGAAGGGAGTACAACAGAACTATTAAACTGCAGAACTGAGAAGAAATGGGAGCACAAAGACACCTTTGTGGCAGCTTGTGCTATCACATGCCACTACTACAGTTTCTGAAAGCTGTGGCAATAAGAAACAAAGTAACAAACTCCATTGTTCCTTCATGTCAGAGTCCTTGGATGTGTTGTTCTTAAATCCCTGGTTCTTAAAGATCAGAAGATCTCAGTTCTTTCCATTAGGTCAGCACTGAATTCCTTCAAAAGATTTTCTTGGGTCAGTGTTAGTATTTGAGAGGCCAGGAATATGGTAAAATTTCCAATCTCTGAAGGAAGAGAAAAGGGGAAAAAAAGTTTTAAAAAATGGGAAAAAAGCTTCATAAATAAGAATGGAAAGAAGAGTTGAAGGAGACAGGATTAGGAAAGAAGGAAAATATACCATGCATGGATACAAATTCCTTATGATGAATATGATCATTATGCATATCTAAAATGTCCCAATAGCCTTAATTTTAAAAAAAACTAATGCCTTATTTTGAACTGAAAATATAAAGTAAGGACACCAGTAATGCTGGGGAAATTTTTGAGACTGAGAAATTGATACTGTGAGGCTTTTTCCCTAAAATCTCTTCCCTGAAACAATCACTTTACTAAATAATTAAAAAAAAAAACTACAAGTAACAATTTAAAAATGCAATAAAAAATAAAAGAGAGAAAAGTTAGTACTATATCTTAATATTCCTCTATCAAATAATCAGATGAAGAAGAAACTGATGGCCATGTTGGCTTTTACATATCCAGGGACCTGTGTGTAATCCTGTTCTGAGTAACTTTGAAGACTCTAAACCAGTAACAGCAAACCTGTGGCAACGAACCCATGGCATGCATGCATCATGGATCATGGCTTCCTGAATCACTGAAAACTCTAAAAGGTTTGCCATCACTGCAAATGCCAGAAACTGAACAACAGAAAAAGGAAAACTTGGGTCGGCCACTAAAGAATGGCCTGTGATTTCTGTTCTAAAGCAATCAGATTTCAGAAAAAGCAAGATCAAGCCTACCACAGCAACCCTATGCCATCTAAAACTGCAGAACTGGCAGGAGTTACAGAGCTTTGTGTAAAGAGAGGAATGCCTGCTCACAAAAGTCACCTCAACTGCTTCTGGTAAGCAAAGACAGTGGTAAATATGATGTGAAACCAGAAACAAGTCCACACTTGACAAATCATGCCCATCAAGATAGTGATGTCAACCATAATAAAATATTTTGGCAAGACAAGAAATGTGCACCTGTGAAAAGCTGGAAAGATTTGACAGATTCCTGTTTTCTCGGTCCTTGATCAGCAAGTTAATTATAGTAACTGTGCAACTATTCTGAGCTTTAGAGAAAGGCAATTGGCTGTATGAATCCAAGATGCTGCTCTCCTGGGCAAGGGAAAGACAAAATGACAGTAGTGCTTACATGCAAAAATATTCTGAGTGCAGTGTAACAATGAGCCAGATAGCATAGCTAGATGAAAAAGAAGTATATTCTGCAGACATACAAGTGAAACATATTTCAAAAATACAACAAACACACACACATAATTGTGTGTGTGTGCATATATATATATATATATATATATATATATATATACATTTTTTTTAAAGACTCTAAACAACTCTGGTCATATTACAATTAAGGCTGCTTCTCCCGAGCAGACTGTACCTTCACAGCTATAATTGTACACCGCCACCGCTGACCTGTCCACCAGGTTTTCATCATGGTGCCAGCTCACCGCCATTTTCCCCATACCAAAGTAAGGCTCCTCTTTTAAATATGACATCTTCTTAGGATCCATGAAATTCAGCAAAGTTACGTTGTATGCTGTCCTGCTCTTCATGTCTACTTCATCATAGGATGACCCCATCCCAGTTCTGGGAAATTCGGTCATACACACTGGCACGGCATCTTCATTGGCCTTCTCTTTGACAGCAAGTTCTTCCAAAGCCTGAATGGTTTCTGTCTGCAGATAGTCATTGAGTTTAAGGAAGATTTGACAAGCAGCAGCAATCTCGGGATCAGTGTAGCTTACATTAGAACCTTCAACAGGCCAGGGTACAGTAAAGAGCCTGGTATTCAGATACTTGTATGTGCATCCAGGATTCCCAATGAGGATGCGAGACACTGGAGTGAGCAAATCTTTGCCTTGGATCCTCACTAGGTCCCGAAATAAGCAGCCATGCTTGTGCAGTGTGAGAAAGGCTTCCTGAACCTCCTTATGGAGCTCCTCAGACACACTGCCTGCTTCTCGGAGAATCAGCTTAGGGTATTTCAGCTGCCACTGAAACAAAACCAAAGCAAAAAAGGTCAATTTTTATGCATAGCAGACAGCTATCTCTTGCTCTCACATAACCTTCTACCAGAGCAAGTCAATAACGAAAGAAAGGCAATTTCAAATTGTGTCAAGTAATAGAACCGAAACAAACCAGCAGGAAATCTGCCATGAAGATAGAAGGGAATCCCTTCAGAGATGACATTTAAGATGAGATCTTCAGAAAAAGAAGGAACCAGCCATGTGACAAGCTTCAAAAGGATACAGAAGACAGAATAAAAATGTGAAGGCACTGAATGAGGAGAGAGACCAGCCAGTTTTAAGGCCAAAACAAAGGTCAGTTTAACTAAAGCATACAAGCCAAAGGCCAGATCATCATGCGTGCTGAGGATGAAGAGAAAGGCTGAGGCCAGAACACTCACGGCCTCCAAAGTCAAAATACGAAATCGCTAGGTGTACTTGAGGGATTTTAAGGGGAGAAGAATAGCTTGATTTATATTTTATAAAAATCACTTTTAGGGCTGGGGATTTAGCTCAGTGGCAGAAGCACCAGCCTGGCAAGTGCAAGGTCCTGAGTTCAATTTCCGGTACAAAAAAACATAAAAAAAAAAAATCACTTTTAGTTATTATACAAGGCATGAAGTGGAAACAGGTAAATGAAAAATGTAGAAAATCCTATTAGGTGCTATTATCACTCTCCAAGATAAAAATGTTGAGTCTGGATTAAGGTAGAAGCACAGATAAAATATGTATTTTATAGTTAGGAGATGAAGCTATCGGTTGGATGTGAGGGGTAAAGAAAGAAGTTAAAACCAGTCATGGTGGCTCAAGCTTATAATCTCAGCACACAGGAGGCTGAGGCAGGAAGATCACTGTGAATTAAAGGCTAGCCTGAGCTATACAGCAAATTCAACACCAGCCTGAACTACATAGCAAGACCCTGTTTCAAAAAAAGGAAAAGAAAAACAGAAACAAAGTTAAGAATGACTTCCAGATGTGTAGATTTAATAACAATTACTCTTTTTAAAATAAGTGAGACTGGGGCAAAACAAAAATAGTAGGGATAAGAATAGGGGGGAATGAAGAGCTTCACTTCAGAGTTGTCACCATTAAGCTACTTAGCTATTAATCTCAGTATTTCATATGGAAGTAGCAAAGGGCAACTGGATATTCACACCTGGAGTTCAGAAGAGAAGGTGGGCCCAGGAGCTTCGTGCAGGAACCATCAGCACACAGCTGATCATGGGTTAATCACCAAGGAAAACAATCAAAATACCCAAGAGGGACCCGAGTTGTAGAAAAAGGTTTAGCACAACACCAAGTAAAAACTGGAAGAATGTTTTAAAGCAGAAGCCATAAGAGAAGATTTGTTCAAAAAGAATGTGGTCAGTTGTACCTACTGAGATGAGGTCGAGAGAGATGAGGACAGAAATTACCACTGGAATAGGCAATGTGGAAATCATCGATGACAATGCGAAGGCACTGTCAGCAAAGTACTGGGGATAGATGTTAGATTAGAGTAGGATAAAGAGGAAGAAGTAGAGATGCCATGTACAGATGTCTCTAAGTGGTTCTGCTATGACCAGGAACAGAAAAAACAAAGCAACTGATAAAGAGGAATGCTAGACGAGGGTCACCTTTAGTAGTGGAAGACGCTAGCATGCAATACAGCTTGTCAATATAATCATGAGAATGATACAAGAGGAAAAGGCTGATGGTGCGGAAGAGAGATGAATAACTGAAGGACCTAAGCGCAAAGGTGTCTAGAACAGCAGTCTCCTATATGAGGTATGCAGAGATCTGCCATTAAAATTTGGAGAGCAGGAGTGAATATTAAAACTGTTGTGTTTATTTTATCTAAGTGGAGGGAAACCAAGTGTTCCTAAAATACAT